TTCTTTTTTTTTTTTTGTTTTTTTTTTTTTTTTAAATCATCAAGCCAACCTTCGAAATTCCGTCCCCTTTTTTCCTTCGTCATTCCATCTTATATCTTCCCCCGGTAACTTTATCTCGGGGAGGATTACAGTGCTCGAAAACTTTGAAACCGTTCCGTTCCATTCCCTTTTCCATGACATGAGATAGAAGAAGGGCCTCGCAGCTTTGCGTTTTGCTGCCGACCAACAATTATCATTTAATACAGTTCTTTGGCTCGATGCCTTACCTCTTTTTTTCTTTTCTTTTTTCTCCTTTTTTTTATCATCGCTGTTCACCTGTTGCAGAAGCCCATTCGGATATACTAATAAGAGAGAAGGAAGGAAACGTCGTTTGCAATCAACTGAATCGAGTCATTACCTCCATCATCCTCATCCCCCAAATCCCTTCTTCGTCTTGTCAGTTTCTTACTCCCAACTCCTATATAAAATCTTGTCCCACTTTTAAATCCGCATTCTTCTCCCTCTCTGGCTGTCTTATCTCGCATGTCTCCGCCTTTTTGTAAATTGCTTTTAAACAGCTTCCCTTCTGTCGTTGTTGATGCTGCTGCTCTTGTTCCTCCTTGCTTGTCTGTCATCTCTATTTCCACCCATTGTCAAGGGATACAAAATCTCCGCCTCGTTTTTATCCAACATACCCTATCCTCGTAATTGAAAACTTACACAGCTCATGAATAATGGAATCAGTTCAATATATCGCCGTGTGCTTTTGTTGGTCTAGTAGGGCTTTTGCTGATATCATGCATAGAACCGGAGAAGCTTGAAATGCCACTTGCTTTTACTGCGGAAATTCCCAGCTATGCAAGCGCAGTCGGCCATCCAGCCGGCAGAGAATTTATACCCAGATGAATTTCGAGGCCAAAATGCATTGTTTGAAGAGAGAGAGACGCATGCAAAATTTGACAGGCCGGCCATCTGCGTCATGCTAGGTAGAGTTTCCATCAGGAGGCAATTTCTGTTTTCCAGCGGCTTGACAAACCCAGGCTACCGATAGCATGTCCTTTTCTTCCTTGTCCAAAAAAAAGTCTAGATTGCTTCATGCTGGAGAGTGCTCTGGGGGGGAGTTGATTGGCAGCAAGACAGGGGAGGAGAGCTATCAAGTAGTTATAGGGACAGCTGCTTGCGCCAACACGCAGCAGCCAGTCAGTTAACTATAGATCCGAAGCCTGTTTTGTGGGCTGATGGATACTTGTCCGCTGCGTCGGCTGTAAATAGAACCCCTATACGGAGTAAGTCTAGATGCGAGTTGGACTCCGATCTGCAGGGACAGGCCCTTCTCCGTAGCTGTATATAACTAAAAGAGCCGCGCAGCATCGTAGTTCTCCTCTACCGCCGCCAGCCTACAGTTTGCAACTCCCATGAAGCATCTCGGCGACGGCGAACTCCCACTCGCGACGTCATCTAGGGCTTCTCTCGAGTTTATTAGTATTATTTAGGGCTGTTGACGCTGGTCTGACGACATCTTCTGCTTCTCCCGTCGTCTTCTCATCGGTTTCACCACCACCACCATCATCCTCCTCCTCCTCCATCATCCCCGACATCCTGCACTCAGCCTCAACTACCCAGCATCAAACCAACCACCACCGTCATTTCTATCTGCCTGTAAATAAAGAGCACAAGAGACGTCCCCCCGGAGCACCAGCAGCTTCTCAGCAGCTGACGACGTGGCTGACTCTCTGGTGAACCACAACTCAGCAGCAACTTTTGCCATCGCACACACACACATATAACTAACCCCCCGCGCCTGGCTCTGTCAAACGCCTACGTCGACAGCTCATCCTGCGCACAACTCATACCTACAGCTGCTCGAAATCACGTCCAAGAGACGGACGTGCTCTGACAAGTGTTTCGAGAACTAGATACATATGACAGCGCTATAACTAACTCCTTAGTTAGCCGGCTGCCTCCGCATAACTACTACTACCACCACCCGTTCAACATAATATTAACTAGCTACTCGCCTTGCCCTCAACTCGCCTCTCTTGTCTTTGCACTTCCTCCCCCTGCCTATCTCCGTCACTACATACGCCTCTACACACCCCTAATACCAGCTTCTCTAGCCCCTGCTTCATCTGGGCTAGCCCGCAGCGCCTCCATTCCCCATAACTTAACTAACGGCGCCGTTTCGACTGCTGAAGCGATGACGTCAGGACCCGCGATGGAGGAGGAAAATCAGCGACCAAAGGACATGACCCCAGAAACATGGGCACTTGTCGAGGACCTCTTCCCCCGTAGTCTCAATAGAAGCAGTGCTCATCCTCACCTGCCTTCATCCTCGGGCCACGCCAGTGATATGGCAACCTATGACGGCAGCGAGGCAGCGGCCAGCGATGGAGACCAAAGCTACAGCGTCGTTGATGGCATTAGCAGCACCTCCGAGACGCCATCTCTCCTGACTCCACCTCTCACCAACACTGACGATGAAGAATTCGAGGATATCGAAGATGAGTACGAGGATGAAGATGGGAGCAGCGTTGCCACTCCCTCGGGCTGGGGCTCTACCCCAGCACACTCCGTTGATAGCGAACATGACCAAGAAGTATATGACCATGATGAATATGAAGATGAATCCGAAGAAGAAGAAGCATCTGAAGAAGAATCCGAAGATGAGAGAAACTACGTACAGTCTCGTGGTGTTGACTGGCCCGAATCAACTTCAAACCCGGCGCAGTTTGACCGTGTAGAGCAACAGAACAACCACAATGGAGTCCCTCGCCATCATCCGTGTTCTGATGCCACTCATATCTTTGACGAACCTGAAAGCTACGATGACCATGAAACCAATCATCATGATGAGGAGATGCCCGGGGATGAAAGCAGAGAGGCCCCAGCTAATACTTCTCCACAGAATACACCATCTCATCTGGCCCAGACACATGCAGATGTCTTGAGGAGAGCTATCGAGACCATAACACAGCAAAACGAGATGATATCAGCCCTGTCTCAATCCCGGCCTGCATACACGCAGCCGGGCGCTGTACCTGGCCAGGGGAAGCCCAAAAAGAAAGAAGGAAAACAGAAACTTCCACGTTCTCAAGGGTTTAGCAATAGACTTGCACAGCTCATGGAGAAATATCCTGACATTTTCCATGTACTTGTGCTAGTAATCTTGTCCCTTGTCGCCACAGCCCTCACGTTTCCATACATTGATACCTGCCTAGGGATATCTACCCAGGTCCAGGAGGGCGCAGTAACAGGAAGAGTTCAAACTATTATCACCCCCGTTGCTACACCGGTCATATGTGCGAAGACTCCGGTCGTTTCGACTTCTCCAGAGGGAGTACAGTACTTTGAATCACATTCTCGTGCCCCGCAGAATATGGACGACTTCATCACGCAGCTAACCTGCGCCAAAGCTCAGGGCATGAGTGAATCAGACGATGTCCAGGTCCATGTCGTCGGCGACCACCATATGGTTGTCCGATTACCCAACCGCCTCGTATCAGTGAGAGACGGAAACAAGTTTGATATCAAAGTGACTCGGGAGAATAACGGCCTCCCATTTGACCTCTATAAGCTGTTCGACGGCGTCTTTACCCTTCGACTTGCCCCCGAGGATGCTTATGGTCCCATGAACATTACCGTCTCTGCATTGTCAAAGCCAAAATTGACCAAGGTCACCGGCGTTGACTTTGGCACCCCATGGCTGAAAATTGCTAGCTGGAAGAGAGCTACCCAGTCTCTGTCCCAGACGCTCCGTGGAGACCTGGCCGACGCCAAGACTGGACTCTCAAAAGTATACATTAAACTCACCTTTGACTTTAGGAGCATGTATGATGCCTGGGGGATGTACACCAACAAAACCTCTGCCGACGCAACAAGCAACCGCATCAGCAATCTCTTTGACCGTGCTGTTAGCCGTGCAAAAAAATCCGTAGCCAGGTCCAGGGAGGCCTCAGACGGGTTCTTCAAAAAGGCGAAGGAATCCCTCCGCCAATCGTCTGACCAGCTAAGGGCAGAAGCACAACTTATGCGTCGAAAGGCCCGGAGATCCGCCTCCTCCATGATGTCAGCCGCGCAGGAGAGAGCACAGCAGCTTCGAGCTCCTGCCTTTAGTTTCGACTTGAAGGCCAAGTTCCGAGACCTCCGAAAAAATCTTACGGCTTCCACTTGATCCGTGTCAATATGCGTTCAAGGACATTAGCCGTCTTCCGCACGCTCTGGCAATAATATCAACCAGAAGGGAGGAACTGGCTTCTTAGGAAAGGAGAATAAGGGGGGAGAAACAGGAAAATAATGTATCAATAAAACCAGCTACCTACCTACCTAGTTAATGACTGTCCATATCAAATCTACCTGTACATCGGGCATCTCGCCCACCCCAACTAGTTAGCGAGTCGGACAAGCCCACGCGCCATGCAGCTGTCACCCAGCTGCCCGTACAACAGCCAGTCTCTTCTTCAACTAGTCACTTAGTAAACTAGCCAACGCCTCCCAGCGCCCGCTGTGCATCTTCGATCGAGCCCGTCCAGGGGCAAAAGGAACGAGAGTTGCGCTAGTCCCAAACTGAACCTTGTCGAAGCGCCCACCTTCAAGCCTTTTTTTTTTTTTTCTCCCTTTCTTCTCGCTCGCTCTGCGTGGACAACAACAACAACAACAACAAGACCTGCAACATCTACGACTCCAGCATCTCCTGCTTTCTGCTCTTCCTTAGCGACAGCGATATAGCGTCCGTCCCGGCCCTGTCTTGATCTACACAACCGCCCGTCCTCCCAGCACCGAGCCCGCCCACCATGGCAGACGAGCAAAAGCCCGACCCCACCACCGCTGCCCCTCCAGAGGCCGTGACTGAAGACAAGAAAGAAGAGACCACCGCAACCGAAAAGGCAGGCGAGGACGAGTCGAAGAAGGCTGAGGGAGAGGGCGAGAAGGCGGATAAGCCGGCCGCTGCAGAGGAGAGCAAACCTACCACGACCGACTCCGTCTTCTCCATGTTTGGCGGCGGCCCACCAAAGGAGAAAAAGGAGCAGGAAGATGACGCTGACGAGCCATCCGGTTCCTCCAAGAAGAAGACTGAGGGCGACGATGAGGTGAGTTGATGGCCGTGGCTTGCCTGCTGTCGGTTGCTATGCTAATACTATCGTCCCCCCGAAGGACCCCGAGGCTGAGCCGGACGTACACTTCGAGCCAGTCATCCGCCTGACTGAGAAGGTCGAGATCAAGACCAACGAGGAGCTGGAGGAGCAGACCTTCAAGATGCGCGCCAAACTTTTCAGATTTGACCGGGAGTCCAAGGAGTGGAAGGAGCGTGGAACCGGTGACATCAAGCTGTTGAAGCACAAGGAGAACCACAAGACCCGACTGCTCATGCGAAGAGACAAGACCCTCAAGGTCTGCGCCAACCACTACGGTACGGCCTTTTTTACAATTTACGTTAGGCTATACTGAACACTTGCTAATAATCAACTCTTAGTCGTGCCTGACATGCAGCTGTCGCCAAACGTTGGCAGTGATCGAAGTTGGGTGTGGAACGCCGCTGCAGATGTCAGCGACGGCGAGCCAGAGGCCCAGACCCTGGCTATTCGCTTTGCCAACAGCGAGAGTAAGTTTCCACTTCCCTGTTTCTGTCATGTTTACCCCAGGATAAGACGCTAATCCTCCGTGTTAGACGCCGCTCTCTTCAAAGAAGCTTTTGAAAAGGCGCAGGAAGAGAACGCCCTGCTCTTCGGCAAGGACTAAGTCGACCCTGTTCGCTACTAGGATACCCTTGGATTAAGGAGATTGGAGAGATATGAGCCAGCACTACTGCTATGAACACAAGATGAAAAGATGAAAAAGAAAAGAAGAATGACAACCCGCCATCGAATCGAAATATAGCCATGCAACCCACAGTTCCTGCATTACACCTGATGCTTCATTAGCAGACAACCATCACTGCTCCTATGCCATCATCTTTTGCATGGAACCCTTCTACCTATGTCACAGACCCTTATTTAGAAATAACATCTCCCCCCCCCCCCCCCCCCCATTTCAACTCCCTTTTAACTTGCCCACCATATCCCAATCCCAATATTCCAATATACTCCAATGCAATGCCCTGAGATTGTACTCTTGATGATGTTCTCTCTCTACCCTCCCCTTGTTCGCGGAGACACGGCGCTCGCGAGCTGGCCCCCCTTGCCCGCTCCTCCCCTTGGCCCTGCTGCCACCATCTAGAGCAGCCAGGGCCAGACTGAGGGGGAAGGATAGCCGTCGTAACGAAAATCAACCACCATCCATGCTCTTCCCAGAGCCTAACTGCTGCTCTTCTGCTCCCGTAGCCAAAGTAACCATCCAGTAATCGTCTCCTTGACTTCTCTTCTGTTGCCCCCTTTCCCTTTGATAACATTTCTTCCGTTCGGCGAAAAAGCAAAGAGATCGTGATTACCTCATACAAAACTTCTTTCCAACCACCAAAGGGAAAAAAGCGGCCAAACGAAAGCGACGAGAAAGAGACAGACAGAGAGAGAGAAAGAGAGAAAGAGGGAGAAAGAAAGAAAGAGAGATATCAACAGACCGACATCCTCTTCTCTGCCGGCTGCAAGCTCCAGTGCGCTGTTCTCATCACTAGTTGCCATCAGTGACAGCGGACGACCACACACCTCCGCCTCCAAACGCCCCCCCGCCCACCGCTATCTTCCCTCCTGCTTGCCAGGAACGAACCTGAAACTCATAAGCGGCGCTGAGTAGGGCCAGGATATCTTCTGACACGCTGCTGGAGAAATAGAGAGACGCAAGGCCAAGATGCCAGATGTAAGTCCCATACCCGCCTCTACCATACCGGTCCTGGAGCCCGCGCTGTGTTGGCTTCGTTCGGCAAGTCGCGTCTGCAGATTAGGCGCGGAGAGAATGATAGATGAGCTGACTCGGGTGTTTTACGCATGGTATAGGTCAAGCGCACTATTAAGATCGTTACGGAGTCGCGTATATCGTTCGTATCCCCTTCAAGGTTCCTTTGTTGCGCCTCGCGATCCCCTCTTTGCATGGCTGTAGCTCCCTGGGCTGGCTGGGTATATGGGGTGTTCCGGCGCATGATTCCCTGTTGATACCCGTGCGGTATAGCTTGGAGCTTGGATGATGAAGTCGGCTACATCTGCTTCGTAGCTACATGGGCAATGCGCGCCGGATCACCCTCCTACAGGCCAAGGATATACCCATAGCTTCTGAGGGTGTAAGCAGTGAAATTCGCCGGCTAACCAGGTGTGTTCACGGTAAACAGGGACCCAAACTCCGGTATCGAAGGCTTCCCGCTCCGTCAATGGTCCGTCGAGATACATCTCCTGAACGACCATGGAGAGCCCGTTCCTGCGTCGGTATTCCCGAAGGTGACATACCATCTACATCCCAGCTTCGAGCAAAGAGCTACGCAGAGTACGTTGCGCCGCACTTATTGTCCTCCCCCCCCCCCCCCCCAACATGGCGTTGACACTGCGGAACTGGAACTGGCTGCTGACTATACTAGCTATAAAATCCCCTCCTTTCAGAATCGAAGAGGAAGGATGGGGTGAGTTCGATATGCAGATTGTCTTGAGTGCGCCAGACAAGGACCATTCCATTACGCATGACTTGAACTTCCAATCGAGCAAGTACGAGTCAAAGCATGTTATTGTACGTATCACGTCGCAATTTATACGTCATAAATGCTCTCCAATTCTAACCTTGGGGGACAGACGTTCAAAAACCCTAAGCCTCCGCTTCTAGCCCAGCTGCGTGAGTCCGGCCCTGTACCTGGCGATGAGAATGGAGTGAAGAAACGGGGCCAGGAGGAGTCCAAGAAGAAGAAACGCGTGGATAAAAACGTAAGTTGTCTTTTCTGTTGATAGGGCGAATGCATGTTTTGACAGCTCTTCTTTAGGTCGATATGGAGAAGCTAGCAGATGGCCTGCAGAAGCTGGGAGAAGATGACCTGCTCCAAGTTGTCCAGATGGTGCATGACAACAAGTCCTCGGACTCGTATACTAAAAACGATATTGAACGTAAGGACATTTGACATTCTCCGTCCCTCGCGGTAGATGGGTTTACCCGAGCTAACTTGGATCTTAGAGGGAGAATTCCACGTTGATTTATATACCCTCCCCGACGCTCTGATAAGAATGCTCTGGGACTTCACACAAGAAAAGGGAGTATTATAATTAACGCCTGCCTTCTAAGATAGGATAGAGAGAATGAAGCTATTTCTATGAAACCAAAAGAAACGAGACAAAAAGAGATGAAAACGGGGGTTAATGCAGAGACAATGGAGCAAGAGTAACGAGACCTATAACCCCTCCCCTTGGACAGATATCAATTGGCGTCTTTGCGGAAAAAAAAAAAAAAAAAACGAAAAAAAAAAAAAAAAAAAAAAAAAAAAAAAAAAAAAAATGGCGTTACATAGTTACTGGATGAAGAACTTTGCCCATTCTGATAATTCGAACCTGGGGGCTTTTTTTTGTATATTGTTAGTACTATGCGCTTCAGTCATTCTTGCAGTTATTTATATCTACGTGTTACTAGAGTCGGTGTCTAGCTTCTCCATGACTAAGTCAAAGAGGGTAACCAGTATATATATACGGAGAGACATTAATACAGAGAACATGCAAAAATGGTTGTTGAGAAAGATGAATTCAGTGATAGATATGCCTATGCTATAAAATGTGTTATCATCAAAAAAATAGTGGAGAGACATGATTCGAGATTAAATAGAAACGATAGAGGGAATAAACGAAATAAACGAAATAACCTCCCTGTACTTTTTTTTGTACCAGGTTTCTATACTGCCAGAGTATGAAATTCAAGGCAAGGCAAGAAAACACCTCCATGAGCCAACCAGGTTAGGTGCACCGGCGCTATTTCACCTCCCAAGGCAAAGGTAGGAAGAGAAAAAGGGAGGAAGACGGGGGGGAGAGAGAGAGAGGACAGACTAGTATAAGAGGTGGGTATGGTATGGTATGGTATGATATGATGGGGAGAAAACAGCAGCAGAACAGGATGGATAACAAGATATAGGAAAATGCATGATCGGGGTATGAGAGTGGAAGAATGGAAGTCATAACATTAGAGATATAAAGAGATTAATGATTAGAGGATATAAGGAAAAGAGCAGAAAAGGCAAGTGGAAAGAGACAGCGAGATTAAGCGGGTCTAGAGCACTTTGTGTCTGTGATATCAGTTAGCAGGGAAGTTCAATGGAAGAAGTATATGTGTATGGGGGGAATGTTGACGTACTGCATAAGCAAGGCCTCTATGCTGGCAGAGCTGCAGCCACGGCCATCTGGCAGCTGCTTCATGACGTCGATGATGGTAGCGAAGACCTCACCATTCCTGTAGGCGATGAGGGCCGGAGCGGTGATGTGGTCCATCTCGGCGATCTCATAGTGCAGCTTGACAAAGTGTGTGGTGGCCTGCTTGCGAGCAAGCGAAGTAAGGCAGTCTTCTACTATCGAGCTCTCAGTCGACTATATATGCCGTTAGTATATATATGTATATATATAAAGTAGCTATATGAGGGTAAAGGACTGACCTCTGGATCGTAGATGCAGACCACGACGACGGTGCCCGGGGTGACCTTCTCGATGGCGTCGAGGTATCCCGTGGCATCGACGGTGTCGACGTTGCCGTACCGTCGCTTGCTGGGGCTGACTCGGCGAGTAGACTTGTTCTGCAGCTCGAGCATGCGCGCCTCCCTCCACTGGCGCATGAAGCGCTCATCCTCGTCACTCTCCTCCGCCGAGTCGCCGGGACTCGCGCCGCGGTGTATGAAGTTGCTGGTGCTGCCGCTCTTGCTGTGCTTCTCGCTGGCGCCGGGAGAGTTGTGGCCGCTGCGGGAGAACGGGTTGTAGTCGAATGCGCTGGCGGAGGTCAGGGTGCGTCTGAAGGAGCGCTTCTTCGCGCGCTCAAAGGACTGCGCATCGGCAATGACGCCCTTGGGCCCCGTGTTGGCGTCGTAGACGGTCGCCGGGATGTGGTATGCGGCCGGCTTGGAGACCATGGTGCCGGAGAAGTCGATCTCGCTCTCGTCGGAGTCGTCTCCAGCGGCGGCGTGGGCGGCGCGGATGCGGTTGGTGCGCTTCTCGTTGTGCTCGTCCTCCTCCTCCTCCTCGTCGTCGTCTTTGTACTCGTCGCCGGAGAAGTGGGCGAGGTCTTCAGGATGGGCTGCGGGCTGTTTGTCCTTGGGGTCGAGCAGGGCGTCGGCTTCGTCTTGGGCGGGAGACATGGTGGGCGCTGCTCGCGGGGACGGGGGGAAAGACAGGCTCAGTATATATAACCATAAGAGTCGAGCGAGGGCGGTTCCGGATACGGGTGGGTGGGTATGATCCCTACTTACTTTTTTCTGCTGTGCTAACTAAGGATCGACTCTGTTCGCTCGCTCGCGCCGTTTCTTTGCTCTCGTTGGCCGTTCTTCAGGGGCTTCTTTGCTTTTTGGCTGGCCGGCGTTGCGTGGTTTGCGGTTGCGGGTGCGTGGAGTGCGTGTGAGAGACAAGAGTGAGAGAGGAGAGAGAGAGGAAAAAGTGACGACGTCGTTACTTTGGCCGGAACCGCCCGCCTTTTTGGACGAACCACCAACAGCAGAAGACGAAGACGAAGACGAAGACGAAGAAGGAGAATAAGAAGGCGAAGAAGAAGAAGAAGCAAAAAAAGGGCCAAATCTTGGGTCGGTGACCAGCTGGAGACACACTAGGAGCGGCCAATGGGGAGTTTCTTTGCAGGGTCCGCGGTTGGGCAGGAGGAGAGCTGGGAGGGAGGCAGGCAGAGGGAGAGCAAAGACGATAGACGGAGCATCGAAAGAGAGAGAGAGAGAGAGACGAGGGAGGCTGTTTCAGAAGGTTAAGGCCAGGGGCAAGGCGACCTCTTGCGCTCTGGGCTCGTATCCAGGGATATCAAAAGCACCCAAGTGGCCAGTCCCTCCCCTCCGCCTGATATGATTTGCTTCTTTCCCTCCTCCATATTTCCAGACAGACGCTGACGATGGAGTAGTTTTTTCGTTTTTGCTTCTTTCTCTTGTCCTGAACCGGTTACTGGGTGCGCCAGAGGGGACGAGCGCTACTTGGGCATTCCATACATGTGCTCTTCGGCTGCGTTGGACATTTTGTGATGAAACACGGCAGCACAAGAGACACGGAACAGACAAAAGGAATTGGTCGCAAGCCGAAAGCAGGAGACGCCCAAAACAAGGCTTACGCAGTGACTGTTGATCTCGGATGTCCCGTTCGAGCACATGGGAAACTGATATATCACCCGTCTGAGGGCTCTTCTCTATCTCGTGCTGTGGCTCTACGAAGTAAGTAACTGCTGTGCTGCCAAACGACGGAGGACACCGGTAGAAGATGCTCCGCAACGAAGCTACAACTGGACGGGTGTGATCAACTATAACTCTGGACAAGATGGAGATCCTCCGCAGAGAGAGCGTTTAAGAGTGGGCTACTTCTTTCCGGCCTATCCGTGGGTTGGATGCCAAAAATGCACTCAACAGAATATGGACTGAAGGAGGCAAAAAAAAAAAAAAAGGAGTCATCCAAAGGGCCATCCAAGAAGGCCATGAGCTAGCCTACGCCCCCTTTTCCACGTGGATCGAGGCTTTTTCCTTTTCCTCTTAGCATTACACACAAGGAATATACAACTTGATGAGGTTTAACTTCGCCATCCTTGCTTAACGCCCGTCCCCCTTGCGAGGAAGTTGATGGGAACATCTCGGCTTCAGGGGCTCTGTGTCGCGTGGCTTTGTTTCAGGTTTCCACAAGCGCACGCTAACTCCGGTTGGACCTCCTCCCTGTGCTTTCATTTCTTTTTCTTCTCGTTGGCTAGCGAAGTTTGTACTTTCAACTCTGAGTTGTCCGATGGAGTCAACTCCTGGCCTCGGCATACGGTTGCTGCATTTTGATTCCATATAAGGCACTCCTAACTTACATATACAAAGACCGTCAGACAGTCATATAGACAGGGCAAACAAACAGGCAGACAGGCATGGCTCCCCTGCCCGATGCAGATGTCGATGCAATCTCTGCGTCATCCCTTCGATCGCACAAGTCTCCAACCCTTGCTCTTAGTTAGGCACTTAAGGAAAAAACTATTTGCATGGCTGGCTGCCAAACCTGCACTGGAAGGACGGATGGTTTTTCTCCTCCCCTTAGACCGCCGTGAACCCGCGAGCTGGCTGCAGGTGCTGTCGAATTGTCCAGTCCAACCCTTATCTCTTGTCATTTCTTGCCTGAGGCCACTAAACCTATCATGCAGTGAGCTGGAATATCGGCTTGGCCAGCCGCCAGCGATATATCACGCTGAGTTATTATCATTCCTCTATTCGACTGCCAACATATGCAAGCATTGCCGCGGCCGTTTCAACCATCCCACCACCTGCAGCAGCATTATTGTCAATCTTATATGTTGGGCTGCGACTGCACGTTCAGACGTTCATCTCTACCCGAACAAATCCTCCCCTCGCCGTTGGACAGCAAGGGGATGAAGTGTCGGCAGTTATGGGCATGCCGAATTCCCTTTTTTCTGCGGAGGGAGCTCCTGTTCTCCCCTGTTTCAACCCCGACTTGATGGAGTTCTTCGGCCACAACTTACCTCTTGTCCTCAAATCTTCCGCAGGAACTGAGATGTAAGTACTTACCTCTAGGCTACCTCGGCCTGTACTTTCGCAGGGTGTCAACTTAACGGATATACATACCCGAAACACCCCTGCTGTGTAGACTCTGCTCCGTACAAAATTATCCGGAAATCTACGACATCTGTAGACTTTTGAGTCGTGCCAAAGCTCGCAATTTTGGCCACCATTTCCCCTTCCTCCCCTTGCTGCTTGGTAAAAGCCATGTCGTCAGTTGGATCTAGACTTGCCCATAGACAGACATGATTACACGTTTGATCATGAACTCGGTTGCCGAAGGGGTTGGCGGTTAATATTGGGTTATAGACTGGAGACGGACGAGCCCCTTCGACGATTCCAACCACCCGTTATCGTAGTATCTGAGCCAGCAATCTTATCGATGTGCTGAAGAAGCCACATCACGGATAGAAGATCTGATCTACTCAGCCGAGACCTCTAGCTCTGGTACCCCCTCTATGATTATGGAGTATCAGTAGAGAGGGCCTTGAGCGGTAGGATCCATCTCCCAGAACTGACCCAGTTGCATCTTCCAACCACACCATCTTTCTTTCGTCCAGCTCTATTTATATCGCCGGCAGTACGGAGTAGGGAGGTCCACGATCTGTCTTGTCCCTCACCCCCGATTACTCTAGTGTGGAATCAGTCAATCAGGGTAGTTAACTAGCGCCAGTTGGACAGAGCAAAGACTGAGAAATGCGGTCTCTCAGGATCCCATGTCTGAATCTCCAGATATAAGGGTGACATTATTGACAGTTCTGAGGTCATGTAAGTCGGTACTCTGTACTCGTAAAGCTCGAGAAAAGAGAGCTGATCTTCCATTTACTTACTCTGGCCGGCAACCCCTTTTATCCCGTAACTACGAGTTACTCAGGACGAATCCCTGTCTGGCCAGTCGGAAGACGAGCCAGAAGATACTTGAACACCCTGCTGCGATCAAAAGTCACTTCGAGGGGCATGGATCCTGCCGCTTAAATACTTTACTTTATTCCGGGAGAGAGCCTGCTTCGTTGCTAAATCATCGTTTTGTCTTCCCGTGTAGCGAGCGAACGGGAGCCTGTCTTGATGGTTCAACCCCATTTAAGGCTCGCGATCTTCAACGCTATCAGCGCCCATCAACACAACCTCAGCTCCACTGCTGAAAACTTGAACTGTACACAGAAGAGCCATCATTGCCCAAGATCAACAAGTGTCTTCCTGGGGCGACTGGCTGGAGATTTCTCCTTCTTCTGCGGCGAAAACTGCATTACGGAGTACTCCGTACCGAGCTTCTGCTTGTGACAATCTACACTGTCAGCCAGAGTGCTGGGACAAGCCTCTTCTCGTATAGCCAACGAGCTAAGAGATTCAGATGAGATCAACTGCCAGAGATACCCAATCTGTTCACCTTCTTTGAACAGCCACGGATGACCTAGGAAGTGTCCCGATTACACCGCCAGATGGCAGACAGCATGCGAAATAGATAGGGAGACCTTGACATACTGTATATTGAACCTCTCATCCCTGGACGATAACCTTCAGCTGGCCATTGTAGGGCCTTGGAGCTGACTCCAGGGGTCATCCACCTTTTTGCCAGGCACCGGCTATCAGGTCTCAGGCCAGAGATTGGCCTCTATCAAGCCGGATCCGCAGCGTGAGACCCTCCAGAGCCTGCCCTGAACAATCCTAGCAAACCAACACCAATCAATTTTCACGAAAATGGTCCTTTTAAGCAGCCTATCCACTCAGAAACCTCGGAGCAGAGGCTCTTCTCTTCAAGGAGGCTTGAGTTCGCTGGCTAGAGCCGTCTTACACAGACACTCATCAGTCGGATCCGATATGTTAACTATCATCACGCCGCCAATCTATGGTTAGACTACACACTAACTGTGCTGGCTGCAAGAAATATATTGAAAATTTTACGCTATCGATGCCCGCTGAGGCCTCCTTTCCAGATACACATCTCTCCGGCTTCTACTTTCCGTTCAAATAGCGGATGGTCAATGAAGCCCCCTTTACTCGACCGCTTAAGCATTGAAGTAGATCATGCTTATATGTAATACACATCGGGAGATCTATCTCCTTTATCGACTGACATATGTCTTGCATTTGCATCTGCCAGCCATGCATTTCCATTAGGCGGTATCGGTGGCTCAATGGCCACTTACTTACCCAGAGAGGCCTCCGCATAGCATCATGGGAGATTTGCCATCGATCATGACAGTGGCTGGCTCACGTCAAAGCCAATGAGAAGTTTACCTCGTTACTACATGCGACTCGCCCAGTTGGTGAAGTTCTTGAGGACTCTGGGATATTGCGGGAAGAGAAATAACTATATCTAGCAGGCGTTAACTATTGATGCCCGGAGCTTCCGGGAAACCAGTGCTTCTTCTATATCTCTATCGGAGATTGGATGGCCATATATTGACGGGTCTCCCCTGAACACACGATAGCCCGTACTAGACCACTATCGCCTACTCCATATCCCTGCCCACATTTTATCTTTACCCCTGTCTCCTCCCGGGGTAGTCAAATAGGCACCCAGCTAACTAGCTAATCAGGCGGCTTTCACTCAAAAGATTTAAGTAATAACCCCAGTTCGCCGTGAACTCGTTAGTACGCAACTAAATCAGTAGTCATCTAGTTGTGAGGTGGACCCGCAAATCTTCGTTTTATTAACGTTTTTACCCCTGAGTGAGGGCCGATATGGACGAATTCTGACCATAAAAGAGATCCCTGCTGGGCACCTCAACATGTCCTTCAATCTCCAGCCCCTCAAAACATCGCCATAGGCCACTGCATGCGCCCCGATTTAGTCGGTACCAGAGTTTTGCCGCCTCTTGTATTGCTTGTATCACGATCGAGGTGGCGGATCCCAGCAGCCATTGAACGATCCCCATTCGATGAAGTTGCATAATTGAAATTATACCCAGCTACTGGCTTCGGACAATTATGTCCAGACGTTCTCTTGCAGTTGGTGGCGCACCAAGTTCAATAGTTGCCTGCAGATCTGGAGTCAGTGGTTGAAATGCAGCCTGCTTCCAGAATAACGGTGACTTCCATTATGCCGCTCAAGAAAAGCAAAGACAGTTGCCGCTGTTTAGATACTTTGGGAGACATATAGACCGTCTCATCCGCAAGCCGTCTCATTCTGATGAGTGAGGCCTCAATCTTTTCCTGTGTCCAACGGAAGTGTGTCTTGTGAGAGCGTCCGAGGTGTTTATAGTTATCAACTATAGTAGTTATTGTTTAGTGCCGGAAATGCGCTTCCTGTTGGTGTTGAGCCTGGCCTCGATGGCCCTGGCATCGCCTATTGCTACCTCGCATTTGACTGCAAGAGATGAAGTTTTCCCTCAGTGTGCGGTAAGAAGGCCTGCTATCTAGTTGAATGTGAATATGATATAACGAACGCCAACTAATACACTCCTAGACCGACTGTCAGAGCCAAGTCATTGCCGAAGCTGGGACACAATGCTCTGCCAAAGATATATCCTGTCTCTGTGCAGACGAGACATTCCAGGGAAAGGTTGCCGGTTGTATAATGAAACACTGCACGGGAAGTGAGGCTTTGAGTAAGACTTCCTTTCTTCCATACTTTTGGGCTGTTCGGTATCCTAAGATAATATAATATAGTGGCAAAGCATCTCAGCTCACAGGCCTGTGGTATCATCACAAAACCGCGATACGCCGAAGTAGATGCGGGCACGCTTATCCCTTTCCTATTTGCTAGTTTCTTCTTCTCAGTTAGGATCACATCTAAGGCGATGCATCTGGGAGGTGGATGGGGTGCTGACGACTATACCATATCTGTGGCATATGTAAGGCAGACCCATCCCACATACCTTCAACTCCTTTTTATTAATGATCGTAGATACTTGCTATTGCGATTTATACCCTACACACTCAAAGTAAGATCAATCCCCCCCAAGACATATCTAGGATAGAGTGCTAACCACCTATCTAGTGATCCATTATGGCTTTGGCAAAAACATATGGGACGTTATTCCACAAGAAGATTTAACAATAGCATTCAAGGTCCGTCTTCTCCAGGTCCTCAAGGAAATGCGAGGAAGAAAGCTAACTATGAATAAATAGGTCTTCTTCGCATACGTCTTGGTATATAAGTCTCTGATATCCCTCGCAAAGATATCTGTCGGTTTCTTCCTGCTGCGAATCTTCAGGTCAACTCCTTTCCGTTACGCTACATATAGTATTATTGCACTCAATGCGGCAATTGGAATTACATGGATACTAGTTGATGCTTTCCACTGTGTCCCCGTCCATCTAGCGTGGACCTCATGGAAGATGGAGGAGACAGGCACTTGCATCAACTTCATGACCTCAACCTATGTCAACGGGTTTGTCAATATCGCTGTTGACACTGTCATGGTAACGATGCCAATATACGAGGTCGTCAAGCTGAAACTATCCCGCCGCAAGAAGGTAGGGGTTGCAGTGATGTTCGGAATGGGTCTACTGTAAGTTTATTGCACCGATTCTCACTGTTATTTCCCACAATCAACTAACGTGTCTGCTTAGATTGACGGCCATTGGAATTGCACGAGTGATTATCCTGTTCCAGCATGATCCCACTACAAATCCTACCTGTGAGTAGCACCCAGATGCCCCCTTTCTAAAGAGGCCCATTCACTAACCATGATCGATAGATGAAATGGCACCGCTAAACTACTGGTCCATGATCGAATGCCAGATAGCTATTGTCTGCGCGTGCCTACCTGCCATACGGACACTGCTCATCCACTACGTTCCCGAAGTATTTGGCCAAACCACGGAGGCTGCGTCTCAAAAACGACTGAATGCTTCTTCTACTGGCAACTCCAAGGGAGAGGAGTATACCTCCAACTCCACCTTGGTTGAATCCGGGGATGGCTACATTTCCAAAACCATTTCATATTCGGTGAACACTACGATAAAATCCGAGAACAGCCCGACGGAGCCATCCATAAATCTTGTCCAGGTTGATCGAAGAAGAGTATGAGAGGGTGCATTTTTCTTCCATTCGCTCGTGCACGACCATAATCTTAATTGATAATATTTTCACCAACTTACCTGTATATAATTAATGATACCAATACCAACTTTCTTTTTCGACGGCATTAATCTCGATAATATAAGCTAGCACTTATAGTAGCTGGCAATATAGATCTGGTCAACTTATGGATCTTCCCGAATTATATAGTTATATAAATAGTTGGCCCACCGAATGATAGTGGATTCAGAAGGGGGGTGGCGGGTCGATCCATCCTGTGGGCTTGTGGAGTGATGGTTTATCCAGCAATGATAACTATGGATAGCCGCGAGTATCAAAAGCCAAGTATGTATGTTTCTCCAGTAGGACTTTTTACATCTATAATGCCAGCCATCTTAATCGATATCAGACACCTTAATCAGCCATGTGGAGAATCGAATACGATGCAGGATCTCGGATAACAACCGAGACGCCGACAACGAAGACATCGATGTCTCAGCCTCAATATCAGCCGAATATCGCCTTTCTCCAGCTCGCCAGTTAACGAAAGAAGCCAAATACCCCATACTAGATACAGGCCATAAACTAATTACTTCATCATGGCCCAGCAAAAGCCCAAAGTGCTATGTCTAAGCTATCCCGAGTTCACGGATAAGGCGTACCTCGCTGACTTCCAAACCAAATTCGAGCTCCATGTCAGTCTAGCCTCTCGTCAAGAGTTATGCAAACATACCTCCATAAGAATACCAGATACCTAACGGCCAGGATACCAGTCTCTCACATCTCCTGCCCGCGCCGGCCTGGTTCCCGAACTAGCGGCCCGCGTGCGCGAAGATGGGCCCTTCGACGCTGTGATCGTGCGCATAGGCACCATTGTCTTTGAGCCATTTGACGCAGAGATGCTTTCTCCTTTACTCCCCGACTGTCGCATCATAGCCTCTGCTTCAGCGGGGTATAATGAATTCGACGTGGACTGGATGACTCGCAACGGCATATGGTTCTGCAACTCTCGCAACGCCGTGTCAGAATGCACGGCTGACATGGCGATTTTCCTCATCCTGGCGGTGCTGAAGAATGCTTCTGTTGCGGAACGATGTGCAAAAAGCGGGGTTTGGCGACAGGGCATCGAGGGCGTCAGTAGGTCTCCTCGCGGGATGGTGTTGGGTATTATTGGGATGGGCAGTATTGGGAAGGTAGGGCTCGAAACGATATGTTTTGGAGGCGAGGCGAGGTGAGGCAGGTGTATGGGATACGTGCTAATTGATATATTCGATGTGCGGCTAGTATCTTGCTAAACGAGCAGACGTGTTGGGTATGAAGGTGGTGTATTACAATCGGAACCGCCTTGCGGAGGACGTTGAGAAGCAGTATAATGCTAGATATTGCTCGACGCTGGATGAACTGCTTGCCTGCTCGGATGTGATATCCGTCAATTGCCCGCTGAGCAAAGAGACTACGAATCTGCTTGGGCGTGAACAGTTCGAGAAGATGAAGAACGGGGTGTACTTTGTCAACACTGCCCGGGGACAGATCGTTGATGAAGAGGCATTGGTGGATGCGTTGAAGTCCGGAAAGGTCAAGATGGCTGGTCTAGATGTGTTTCCTAACGAGCCTAACATCAAGTAAGTCACAGTGCTTGCTATCCATATTTGTCTGTGTTCTTTAATTAACGGCCGACCGTGATGCCGCAGCCCGTATTTTATGGAGAGCGACAAGTGCATACTACAGCCTCATCTGGGTGGGTATACCGACGGGGCCTTCAGGCTATCTGAGCTAGAGTGTTTTGAGAATATCAAGGCATGGTATGCTACGGGGGTGCCCATCTCGCCAGTTAATGAAATTGAAAAGCAGACTTAGATTGGACATGTGGAATAAACTAGATTATGGTACTGATAGTATATTCTACCAGCTCAAAGCCGGCAACCCAGGTGGATAGACACAATATCCTGTTATTAAACCGCTTCCCTTTTGGCGGAACCAGGAGCCACCCATGGACCGCTTTGGTCCCTTTTTTTTTATAACCATCTTCTGATATAGTCATGGTTTGTAAAAGATAGAGCAGCTTCACCGTGGAACCCATTGGTCTGGGTAGAAAATTTCTTGGGCGGCTTGGTTTTGGTAGGCATTTATATCCGTGATAATGCCACGAGGGCAAAGCACCGGCCTCATCCTGTAGAAGTGATGTTAGCAGATTGCTTTCATCAAGTGATCAACCATGCATGGCAGCTGTGACGTACCGGGAATAATTGCCTTGCTATCATACTGTATAATATATGTATATAATAACTGGTATATTAATACCGAATACCGAATACCTAGTTTAACACACGGAATGCCGAGGTACCGGAGCCAGACGGTCTGGATGTAGATCATGTTAGTTTTCGGGGATCACGTTGGTAGGGAGAAAAAAAAAGGGGGAGGAAAGGAATGGAGCAGTCAAAGAACATACCGGAGAAGAGGCTTACCACCACGAGTGAGCCAGGGTAGAGGCAATTGGTTGGGTGTACTTATGTTGTTCCCGTAATAATATATCGGCGCAAGTGGCCGTTTCGAGTATTGTTTGGAATGACAGACAGGCAGGGCGGCCATATATGGGCCGGAGGGCGTAGGTTCGGCCTGACATGCCCACTCACCCACGGCCCGGAAGATGTTTACTGCCAGGCCGCGAGTGAGTGGGTGTCTATACGTGTATGTATATATGTAATAAATCCCAGACAGATATACAAGTACCTTTTGACCGCCCCGGCAGTCGCACGTAGTATAGCGCGGGAACCCACAAAGGGGTCAAGACGACTGTTTTTCTCTTCTGCACGGTACCGAGCTTATGGAACATAAACGAAGGCGTATATGGCATGGTGTGGTGTGGTGCAGTAAAGTATATACCTAGGTATGTATATATAGTGGAGTAAACCGTAAGTAGACGCTGGGATATGTCTCGGTTGTTGTAGTTTGGTAGATGGAGGAGAGAAGAAGAAAGAAAGAAAAAAGAAAAGAGAAAGAAGAAGAAATTGGGAAATCTGGGGGGAGGAAGGGGATTTTATAGCCTGGGGGAAGGGCAGCTGGGGCTGTCACTGCACTGGGGGAGGAGGAGGGAGAAGGGGGGGAAGGGGAGAAGGGGGAGTAGTTAATGCAGATGGCTGTTCACTGCAGCTGTCAGGCGTCGACGATGCGATCAGAGGGAGGGGGTTCACAGCAAGAGCAGAGGGAGTGAAGAAGAGGAGAGGAGAAGAAGAAGAAGAAGCAAAGGAGTTAGTTGGATTGTTTAAGAGCAAGTCAAGAGTATATATGATGACATAGTATAGTATAGTAGTATAGTTGGTAGTAGTAGTAGTAGTGGTAGTAGTAGTAGTATAGAGGTAGATAGATAGAGAGCATGAACGGTGGGAGGATGAAGTTTAGTGGTGATGGCTCAGGGAGAAGAAAGAGAGGTCAAGAGGAGGTCAGAGGAGGTGATTATGCCTTGAGACGGCGGGGAATCAAAGGAGAAGAAGAAAAGAAAGGCATAGAAGGTAGAAGATGTAGTAAATAATTAATCCCCATGTAAGAAAGTAGTGTAGAAAAAGGGGGGGATGAGAGAGGTAAGTAAGTAATAAAGCTCCAAGCCAAAAAAAATAAAAAAAGGTAACATGAAGTAAAGAAGAAATAGATCAGTCATGTCGAGGTAAGAGGAAGAGAGGGATAGAGATAGAGATAGAGAGAGAGAGATGGAGAAGGCGGCATCATGTATAAGGGAGGAAGTTTTTGGGAGGGGACAATGGACGGCAGGAAGAGGAAAAGCAGAGCAGACAGACAGACAGGAAAAGAATAGATAGACCGTCCCATTCCACTTTTCAAAGCAAGACAAGGAAGACAGGCAGATAGAAAGAGGAAAGAAGAAAAAAGGCAAGACAGACACTAACAGAGCAACGGACGAGATGTAGTTAGACAGAGAGGAAACGACAAAGGAGACGGTAGGTCGGAGTAAAAGGTGTAGAGCAGTGTAGTCGTCGTCTTGGGAGGTAGGTAGAGGTGTATGATGTAGTAGATGGGAGAAATTGGCCGGTTTACCACGCCCAGATTTTAAGCTTGGGAGAAGTTAGCTGGGATGCAAGTAACAAAAAAAAAAAAAAAAGAAAGGGACGAGAAGGGTAAGTCCTACCAGTGAATCCCAGGAACCTGTGCATAAGCTTATGCCGTCGTTACTGACGCCGAGACAGCTGACTCTGTTCTCATGGCCGCTTAACGAGCCGACCTTCTCTCCTCTCAACACATCCCATACCTGTTGACGATGGGTTAGTAACATGTTCTAGAATGAACATAAAAATGAAATATAAGAGAGAAGACCTACCTTGCACTCGTAGTCGTCGTAACCAGCAAAGAGTAGTCGTCCGGAGACCGAGAAGGCTACCGAGGTGATACCGCAGAGTACTTGGTCACTCTGATAGTGAAGTTAGTATATATTAACTAGAAAAAAAAAATGAAAAAATAAATAATAAAAAAGAGGAATACTAACTTGGTAGACGTTGAGCTCGCGGTCGGCTCGAATGTCGAATAGTCTGCAGGTGGTGTCGTCCGAGCCGGTTCCAAAGGCGTTGCCGTCGGGGAAGAACTGGATGGCATTGATATCGGACTCGTGGCCGGAGAAGGTCTGGACGGCCTTGCCAACACGGATGTCCCACAGTTTGGCGAACATGTCGCAGGCGCCAGAGACAAAGACGTCGTTGGAAGTCGGGTTGATGCTGATGCTCATGACGTCTCCGAGATGGTCGGCAAACTCGGTGATCTTGGCCCCGGACTCGATGTCCCAGAGTATGCAGGTCATGTCGCCCGAAGAGGTGAGGATGCGGCGGTCGTTGATGAAGCGGCAGCAGGAGAGGTAGCCCGAGTGTCCCGAGAGCTCACGGGCGACCCGAGTCGGCCCGTCTCTGGAGGAGAGGTTGTAGATGGAGCAGATGTTGTCGAGACCACCGCAGGCGACGTAGTTTCCCGAGGGGGCGTAGGCGCAGGTCATGACCCAGGAGGAGCGCAGGGGGATGGCGTGGACCTTGTTGGTGGTGTAGGCGTCCCAGATGATGAGCTTGCCGTCCTGGGAGGCAGAGACGAGATGGCGGCGGTCGGTGGACCAGTGCATGGCGTAGATTTTGGCGAGATGGCCCTTGAGATTGCGGCGCGGGCGCATCCCGATTCGGGGGAGGGGGTCAGTGTTGTTCTGGGCGACCTGGCGGACTATCAGAGTTGTTAGTTAGAATCACAGAGCAGGAGAGAGATAGATGGATAGAGAGAGAGAGAGAGAGATAGAGAGAGAGAGAGTAAAGGGAGAGAACGAACGGGTGGTGTCTGCGAGGTCGTCTCTGCGATGCCTAATGCGGTCCTTGAGCACTTCGGCCTCGCGTCTGGCGGCGACGATCTTGGCCTGCATCTGTTCGCTGGAGTCGGCCATGGTGACGGGGGGAGAGGAGAGGAGACTGGAAGAGAAGAGGCAGACGACTAGGAGAGCAAGAGTCGAGCGACGGGCAGCCGGTCTTCAATGGCTGTTATGGGCTGTTTGTTGTTGTTGTTGTTGTCGTCGTCGTCGTCGTCGTCGTCGTCGTTGTTGTGGTGGTGATGGGGCGGAGATGGGGGTGGTTGGGAGAGACAGAGAGACAGAGAGACAGAGAGGAGAGAGAGAGCCCTTGCTGGGATAAAGAGCAGCGACGCCAGACGGCCAATTCCGGGGGGGAGAATGAGACGGACGGTTCGACCGCTTGGATCCTCGACTGGGTTCGCCTTGTCTCTCGTCGGTGGTCCTGTCGGGGGTCGTCTGTCGTCGGTTCGGGACAGACTCGGGGCGAAGAGGAAGAGAGAGGAAGAGAGAGGAAGAGAGAAGAGAGAAGAGAAGAGAGAGCCAGAGATGAAGGAGAAGAAGAGAAGAAGAAGCTGGACGAGGGCGAAGGAGGAGGAAGAAGAAGAAGAAGAGCGAAGAGAGAGAGAGAGAGAAGGAAGAAAGAAGGTTGAACGAGCGAAAAAGCGACGCCAGAAGAAGAAGAAGCGCAGGAGAAAGAAAAAAAAAAGAGGACGCCAAGCCAGGAAAGGGAAGGGAGAAGGCGTAAAGACGTTACGGGACGGTGACAGCGCGGGAGACAGGCAGAAAGGGCAAAGAAGAGGGCGAGAAGAGGGCGAGAAGAGGGCGAGAAGATGGCTGCAGGCGGCGGGCGATACGAGGTGGTTACGACAGTGATACGCTGATGATACACGACGATACACGACGATACAGCGATACCGACGATACAGACGCCACAGAAGAAGAGAAGAAGAAGAAGAAGAAGTAAGAAGTAAGAAGAAGTAAGAAGTAAGAAGATGGTAATCTCTCTCTCTCTCTCTTTACTCTTTACTCTTTACTCTCTCTTTTACTCTTCTTTCTACTCTTTTCTCTCCCAACTTCTACTCTTCCACTCTTCTTCTCTTCTTCTCTTCTTTTCTTCTTCTTCTTTTCTTCTTCTTCTCTGTCAGCGCTTAAAGAGACTAAAATAACACAAACTAAAATAACACTTTTTAAACTTCTTGCTTGCTTTTTCTGCCTGTTTAGTAATCTTGTTAGTAAGCAGCAGTTGGGGGCCAGACGGTAGTGCAGAGTAGAATAGAAGAAGAGAAGAAGCAGAAGAGAAGAAGAGTGGAAGAATAGAAGAGGAAGAAGAGAAGAGGAAGAAGAGAAGAGGAAGAAGAGAAGAGGAAGAAGAGAAGAGGAAGAAGAGAAGAGGAAGAAGAAGAAGACAGTCACTCTTGATAGTCACTCTTGATAGTCACTCTTGACAGTCACTCTTAGTCGTTTACTTCTTACTTCTTCTCTCTTTTGCTGCTTCTCTTCTGCTTCCACGGATTACTCAGCATCACCAGCCAAACAGACCAAACTTGCCCAAAGAGGAACTTTTTCCCCTTCTGGCCTCCCTTTGGGGTTTTACTCTCTCTTTTTGCTGTTTTTTGCTTTCGACGTCAACTTTTCGACTTTTCGACTTTTCGACTTTTCGACTTTCAACTTCTTCTTAACTTCTCCCGTCTTTTCTTCAACGTCAACTTCATCTTCATCTTCATCTCCTTCAGGGTTCCATCGCCGGCGGACGCTCGCTGTCCTCTCGATCCTCCTCCTCTCTTCGCCTCCCCCGTCCGTCATCATCGCTGCTTGCTGGGAGTTTGTTCTTCCTGCTTACGGAGTACTCTCTCTCTCTCTCTCTCGCCCTCAGTTTTTCCGGACCGCCCTCGATCAGGTCGCTTTTTCCACCCTCTCCCGTCTCCTCCTCCTCCTACAGCAGCCACAA